TGGCTGGATTGGAACCGGTTTGGGAGCTTGGATCTGTGTGTCGTCGACAAATAAATAAGAGCGGAGGAGCTTGGGCCGCAATTGTGCTAGCGTGACGCTAAGGAATTTATGTAGGTGATAAAGAGCTATGGGCCAACGCTTGAGCCTTGTAGGATGCTATTCGTTCTATGGAATAAGTGCAAGACCGTGCAGCGGTATGTCACAACTAGGGCAGGGACCCTCTCAAATAGTGCGCGGAGGCAATTGATCTGAGTTTCGTGCATTCCAGCGTGGCGCAGGAGTACCCACAGACGCGGGAGAGCAACCTTGTAGTATGCCTTGGTAACATGTCTCTGACTATTTGCGTTACCGTGATAGGGCGGCGGGGGTGGTGATATTGGCATCGGCCATCTTCGGGTGCGTGTGCTGTAAGGAGGATGTAGCTTCTTCAATATCTCAGTGAATGCTTCGACAAGGAGTCTAACCAGTGGGCTAATGGCGTCAGACCTGTCCTTATGTACTGATTATCTATATCTTTTAGTCGATATAAATCAGCATTATTCTATTAGCACGCATGCCATTCTAAAATAGAAGCAAAACCGCAACATAAAATTGAGACCAGGTAATGGAATCTATTGTTGTTTTGTTTATCAACGCTAATTTGAAAAATAGTCGATTATAAACACGACAAACTTGGCCGAACAACTCGGGAACTGAATAATTTTACCTTCATGTCTTAAGTAATGTCCCAGGTCAACTTTGTCTCGATACTGCACAAATTAGACCTCGCGACGAAGTTATGTGAATAGTTGGCATTTTTATCACGATTTATTCAAAATTGCGGGTATTTTTAGAGTTAAAACAAGACCACTTCAAATTGAGCATATGTATACATCATTGAATGCTTTAGATTCACCCAGAATGAATACATTTAAGTACGGTTGTTGCACTATTACACAATGTTTGTTTAACGTTGTGGAATGGTGCAAAAAACCCCCCCCGACTAACGTAATAGTATAATATCTTTGTGAACATTTAATTGCCGATCTCTAAATACTGCTGATAAGCTACCATAAAAAATCAGCCGCAACCAGGAGATTGTCAATCTTATGGATGAAAGCATGCTACAAGACAATGTTCTATTGGGAATCAGGCTACCAAATATGTTTTAGTGAAAACCAATTATGAAACATATCAGTCAATTTCAGGGGTAAACAAAATATTTTCAGATTGGGTTCTAAACTTCTCTCGTCAGGATCTAGGTATTTGACATCAAATGTAGCTGATAGCAGCTGAATTTTTAGTAGACTTTATGTAAATAGCGAATTCACAATAGACAGTCGTGAGCAATACACAAATCAGTGATCTTTTTGAATATATCACTCTGTGCACACTGCAGTCTGCACAGGGATAATATTATTTATTTCAAAGGAGATAAGATACAATGTATGTATATATGGTATGGCTCTCATAACCGTTGTAGTGGTTCGGGGAAGATCGATGGGAAGTAGTGGACAGCAAATTCCCGTTTGAAGCTTGGGCCAAGTGAACTTTGAAGTGTTGATTTTTTTCGTAGCATTCTCAAACCTCTGCTGAAAAAAAACCCAGGACAATTCTTTGTCTTTTTGGTGGAATATTTTTGGAATTTGTTAAACACTGTCCCAAAAAGGAAATCATCGTGAGTCTGGGGAAATCACGGACTCACGGCTCGTGACGAGTCACTGACGACGGTGACGATCTGTAATTTTTTGGGGGAAATAAACTAATGCTTTATTAATGATCCGGGTTTACGAGACACGACCCGAACCGTGTGATAAATATAATTTACTAGTATATACACAAGAATCTGTGATATCCTTCAGCTTATCACAACGAGGTAGCCTGCGCGATTAGCACGCTTCAATCACCAGGTACACTAACCATGAACTCCAGTATCTAATCTGGACAACTTTCGCAGATGCAGGTACGTGGTGCGTCAAACTTAATTAGTAGCTGTACAACAATTTATGTGTATTTATCTGAACTTACTCAAGAAATATGTACTATACGATCTCAAAGAGACTTACGTTTAGTACAATGGTTGCCTGTACCCCCCCTCAAAATATGATAAGTCACGGAGTGTATATGATATGTTGTATATGTGGAATCGTGTACGCATATGTGATATGTTACCTTTCGTTTCTGTAGTGTACATGAATTTAATGGCATCGGCGCACTCCTCCGTGTTCGTCTACCGAATGGGTTTTACTAAGAACAGTTTGACAAACAATCGAGAATTCATGTGCGTGATAAAAGTCCCGAAAGTACATTCGCGTGCACCTTTGTGTTAACAATATAAACAACGATCACTGCTATATATTTACCTTCATAAGCAGATCTTCATACGATTCTATACTTACATTTCGGACACACATGGAATATATAACCAATAGGGGCCAGGCAATGGGGCAGGGATGGGGCAACCGCCCCTGGGAATGCCTGGGGGCATGCGAGTACCTTTGCCTCCCGGTGGTGTAATGAGCGCGATTCCCATGGGCAACATTCGAGCTGGAATGCCTGGCTTAGATGCTGATAATGTACGCCAGGGCGTTATCTTTGTCGGTGGTCTTCCTTCCAAGGTGATTCTAGATATTATTTATCTGTTGTATCGATCTCAGGTGTCTGTTGTAGCTCTTGTTAATGTGTAGATTTTCATAGGCACCAACAGTGATGGATCGCCAGAGTGCAAAATATGGTTATCAAGTTTGAAGTAATAATATTCCATATTTCTAAACAAATGCATCGTATGCCAGACAGATTTGAGAACTTATTTTCGTCGTTGGGTCTTTTTATTGAGTATACAACATTATAATCTAGCTTCGTGCCAATAGTCTTACATATTTACTATTATCTGAAATAGGTCTAGACTTATTCATAGTTGGCTATTGTAGTCGCACAATCTGAGATAGTGGGGTCTATATTCGTTTTCATACAACTCATACTGATCATCTCTAGATGACAACATACAAAGGATGAAATCGAGAACTCATCAACCCTGCTAGCTAACTATCAATGAAGTGTGAATTATTACTTTCCAAGATTGTTTTGGTTTAACTCAAATATATCACTGTTTTTGCGGAATGCAACATTCCAGATCACGGAAGGGGACCTAGCAACCTTCTTCAGCAACTGGGGCCATGTAGTCGAAACGAAAATTATTGCCGATCGCGAGACTGGGAAACCAAAAGGGTGAGTTCAGCCATTTCTGTATATCTGCAATCAATCGCTGTACAATGGTGGGTACCTGTTGATTGCGAATAATTGTCGAGTGCATGAATTATGCTAGACAGTGATATACAGTAGTACCAATTGAGGCAAGACTCAACACCGAATTGCATACAAATCCCGGTGTTAAATCGTCTCCATGTGAAATATCCTGGAGGTGTGGTCTTCAGTACGTGAGTATAGTCGTACTTCTAATGTACGACCTCACGTTTTCCTCCTCAGATATGGTTTTGTGACCTTTGCGGACCATTCCGTGGCTGTGAGTCTCAAGCAACAAGGTTCCGTCACGTACCAGGGAAGGCCCATGAACATAGGCAATGCTGTGCGCAAGCACCAGCCGTTCCATGGGCAGTCAGGGGGTGCGTCTGGCAGGGGAAGGGGCCGAGGCGGCTATGCGTATGGACGCCGCAATAGCCAAAGAGAGAGCATTCCAGCCTTTTATGGAGGTATGTGTGTGGAATCGTACGGCCGTTGGCATTGTTTAATAGACGACTTTATATCTTCTTACACTCGCATATCTGCATATGTGTTGCATGTGTGGCCAGATTGTATTCGAGACGAATATACGATTAGTACGCTTCATATGAAATTTTAGTACTCTTCAAATTTGTAATTGAAATACGATACGAGTTTGTATATATGTAAGGATTACACGTATTTTATATATATCTAGACAGTCTTTTGTTGCCGAATGTGTGCAAGTCTATTTTTCGTTATGTGATAGATATTGCAATTTAAATTCAAAACCTCATGAGCGAAAACCATCTAC